CATCAACCACAGCCCATCCTGCATCCCTAACAATCCATCCTGCATGGCTGATCCCGGCCAGCATCCTGGACAGCGCATTCTGCATCCCTAACAATCCATCCCACATTACTGACATCATCTAACATCCTGGGAAACCCATCCTGCATTTCTGACATCACCTAACATCCCAGGAAACCCATCCTGCATCCCTGCCATCAACCAGCATCCTGGGAAACCCACACATCTAATGACTATTTCTGGTCAAGCTTTCTCTTTTGCTGTCCTTCCTTCTCGCCGTGTCCCCCGGATTTATTTGCTGTCACTGCAGGCAGATCTCTCCTGCCCACCCCACTGATGTTGTAGATGAGCTGCCACTTCATTCTTGCTCTCCTGTCCCCCACGTGTCCCTTATGGGGACAAAACCCAAGCTAAGGGGTGTGCTGAAGTCTCTACCAAGAAATTTTCCCCTGAGCACCTCTTGTGTAAATCAGGAATGGGTGATCTCAGGGAATAACCCAGCTTGTGCTGCAGAGGTTGGACCCCACATCCTCCTGCTGCTGCAGATTCCAACAATGGCCAAAACTTCCTCAGAAATTTAGGATTTTCCAAGCCACAGCTGGAGAGCAATACCGTCACCTGCTCAGTTTTCCTGCAAAYAATTCACTCGACTGTTTTTTTTGTTTATAATATGCTTTACACTCTCCTTAGCTCCTAAAARTACTGTAAAGGCTTAAGCAGCCTATCCTTCTCTCTGAAGCCCCATTTGAAACTTGGCAGGCCTTGCAAGTGGGGAGGAGCAAAAGGGTCAGACGGCTTCAGACTTGAGAGCATTTGAGAATTGGACTTTTTGGTGCAGAGTAATAARAAAGGAAAGTTTCCAAATACTGTGTGACCACTCTCCAAAATGATATACATTCACCTCATGTGCCAATTTCAGTTTCATGCCAACTTTTGACACYGACAAACCAACAATCAGACACCTGCTGAATGCAGTTTACAGCCACACATTCATTTTTCATGACACTGATATAGATTAGTATTTTCTGTGGAAGGCCTTTCTGCTGAATTGGACAGAGGAAAGAAATTTTAAGTCAATGCAGCATTTTGGTAAATTTCTAGTTCTTTCACAAAGAAAACAGGGGCATATCTCAGGATTTAAGCACTTCTTCCATTGTTAAATCTGTAGTTCTCTTTCTTGGAGAGAATGAGTGYTTGCAGTCACATGAGAGTTCTTTATCCCATGGGGAAGAGCAGCAGGAGGCTGTTCTGCACTTTACCCTCCCAGTTGTTCCTGACAGCATGAGAAGAAAGGATTTTCTCAATTCCCACCTGTCCTGCTGTTCTCACTGAGGGTTGAGATCCCAAAAACACCGTCACGTTGGGGGCACATGGGAACATGGGAACAGCAGTTCCTCCAGGAGTTCAGCCTCTCTGCTGAGCCCTCAACACCACCTGTAAAGTTCCAGCCACCCTACTTTAAAAAAGGAAACTTGCTGCTGCCCTGTCCAGGCCTTTTGTRAAGCCCCACCCTACCTCTGACTTTCTCTGGCTTCTTTCAAACAGGCCCAAAGACAAAAAATGCAGCTGTTTTCCTTCCTATAGGCTTCCCAAGTACACCTCTGAGTAGATCACAGCACTTCATCAGAAAACAGAGGAATAAAGTTTGTTTTCTTRAAGGGACTATTGACTAATTATCCTTAGGATCAATTAGAATCCTAGAATGCTGAGTGAGTTTGGTTTTTAAAGATCCCATGGTACATTGTAAAACAAGAACCCACTCTGTGCAACCGAATTTTTGACACAGAGGGGGCCTTGTATCTGATCTTTACATATTGGTCCTAAAGGTTTTCTCCACCAATGCTCAGCACAATGCTGTCACTGTAATGGGCACCACTCCATGGCCTGGTGTAAAATATACATTTTGATCAACAAAATGGGGGCTTTGGGGCAGAGGCTGGGCTAGRTTCATCTGTGCAACTCAGGATGTGTGTTCCATACAGCAGAAAGGTAAATCCAGAAGCCTTAGGTTTATTAAAAATATCTAACTGGCCTAATGTTGTAAAATGTTGTTTTGCTGATAACAGCTTTGCTACACAAAAGTAATTTAAGTTATTAATAAAAGTCTATATTTTTCTTACTATATTTATTTCAGTAGTAGCTCATAGTGATRGCCTGCAATGTGTGCTAATACAGCCACACCAGGTGTGAATATCTAATGGTAAAAAAGAGTTTGCAAGTTAGCAAATATGGGCTTGTTGAATGCATTTGAGTGTCTGATGGCTGAGCCCTGGAAATCCTGACCCTGCCAAACCTGTGTGGCTRCTCACAGACACCAGCAAAACTTGTGTGCCTCAAGCTCTCTGTGTGCATATTGCAGGAAGAGACTTTGTAATTCTGCAGCTTTGGAAGTTCTGTTCAACCCCTTACAAACACGCAAAGCACCCCCATTTTTCTCCTGTCTTTCTTTACTGATAAAAAGAAATTAAGATTAATAACAGCTATATGCAGCAAATGAATGTTGTACCTAACTTAAAGACACAGGGCATGAAATGCAGTTTTTTTGAGGAAGTGATTAAGAAATTTWAAAATTCTAATCCTATTTTAGTGTTAAATTGGGATATTGCTATCTTTGGCAGTCTGCTGTTCTGCTGAGGGMATGCCTATGGGTCAGCAGCCACCCAGGCAGTTTAAATGCAAAAAGGAATTCTGCAATCTTTAYTTAATTGCCTCCCTAACTGCATCAAGGCATTCTGATTTGGAACATGGCAGTCTGAAGCCCCCCATTATAAAATGCAAATTGGCCAGCTTGGAGAATARCTCAGATTTACTCCTGGAACTTCCTAATGTTCAGCCCTGGGCTAATTTTGCTCCYGAGATTAAACATTACGTTACTGAAAGTTTTATCTACAGAATGTTACAAAATCTTTTTCCAGRTCAAATGTTTCTTTGGAGTTAGACTTCTGGGTGCACAGCAGAATACTTAAGGTGATGCAATTTAGAAGTTAGAGGTGTTCTATGTGTTTAGTTTTCTTTTGTCCTTCCCCCTTTCCTTGTAGGGCTGTTGTCACCCCTGCCCTGACTTTCATCAGTTGTTTGCCTTGGGTTACACTGAAGGGAAGCCAGAGGTGCTCAGACTCGCACTGCAGGAGTAGAAAAACATCTGAGTTTTCAGCCCATGAATTGTTTTAAGGCCAGTCTGACCCTTCTGCTCTTCAGCCAAAACCACTCGCAGTTTAGGAACTCACCCACCCCAAAATCTTCATCAGCTCAGCAAATCTGAAATCAAAGCAGGAACTATTTTTCCATGTAGCTGAGCTCTGAAAGATTCTTCAACCTCTGTGGGTTCCAGGCTTGGAGCTCAGAGCCAGCAATTGCTAAAAAAATATTTACCATCCGTGGATAGAGGATTTCAGGAGTGTGAACATCTGAGTCTGCTGAAGTGTCACTGTGGGGTTTGAGAGGACAAATGTGGTGGGAGAGAGCTGGAGGGGCTGGGAGCTGCCTCAAGGCTTGTGCAAGCCCTGCTGTAACCACAAAGAACAGGTTTCAGCCTGCCCTGAGGAGAAAATTTAACCCCGAGGAGAAAATTTAATCCCAAGGAGAAAATTAAATAAATCCCAACAGGCAGTAACAGAGGGTGTAAAAAAGACAGTGATCAAATCATGTCAAGTTTATAAAGAATGTGGTGATTAAATGCTTAATTCTTTTGGGAAAAAATCATGTAAAGTTTATAAAGAGTGTGGTGATTAAATGCTTAATTCTTTTGGGAAAAAATCATGTAAAGTTTATAAAGAGTGTGGTGATTAAATGCTTAATT